ATGCAATGTGTGTTTACAGGACAGAATGCAATCAGATCCACAGCATGTCTGGATATGTTATGGGTGCTTTTAGTGCAAAACAAAGCTAGCTTTCACTCTTAAAGTTAGTGCAACCTCGTCCGGTCACTGAGGTTATCTTACCTGGTGGAGGGGGGGACACAGACACGCGCCCCGGGAGCGGCTCGGCGCGAGGGGTCGCCGCGGGGACACACCACTGTCGCATGGCTGTCAGCTGGACCTCTACAGAGACAGGAGACTTGCTGCAGTGTGTTGCGGTTAAACGGCCTCTATTAGCATGCTGGCAAACCCACAAGAGCAGATGACTCGCTGGCAGAAAGCTAAATTGGCTAAGCTAACGCCGCCGTCAACTCTGGCTGGTTCCCCTGAGCTCCAGCCTCCCATCGATAGCTGCTCGCTGCCTTGAGTAAAGTTAGCAAGTGTGAGTGAAGTAAAGAGCGGAGGTAGTGCAATTAAACCTTCAGAATAAAATCATTTGTGGGTTCCTTACAAAATTCCGTTTTTAAAAGTGTTATGGTTGGTCTCTGATAATAATGACATCTGACTCAAATCATATTATCATAAGAGCAGATGAACAGCTCTGACTACAAAAACCTTACTTAAAATCATGCATAAGCAATACATTAGTGTTTAAAACTGCACACAATTATGATTCTGATTTAGTAGTGTTTGGCTGTGAAATAAACCTTTCTACACTTCACCCTTATGGCATATTGTTCCATGTACCTGACTTAACATTGACTAAATCCATATGACCTTTGTACCTCTTTAAATATGTAAATGTGTATATTTAAACATTTTGATTTATGCTACTATCACTGTTTTTTACATTTTATTTCATACCCTAATGCAGTGTTTAGCTAATGCTATTTTTAAGTTTGGAGACAGTTCTTTCAGCACAATGTAAATGTAAAACAACAGTGTGTTTCTTCTGCTCTTTCTCTAGCTGCCTTAAAAGTCGCTGGAGAGACTGTGGTTTTATTTTTGAAGGACCGATAAACCATTACTAATGAGTCTTCCCAACTTGACACTTCATTCTTGTTTTGGCTAACAACTTATCTCAAACTTGCACTTTTCTAGTAACATCTGCCATTATTCAAAATATGTCAAACCTGCACAGATAAACATGGCACGAAGCAAAACATTTTGTGTGTAAAGTCTAGACAGGGCTGGGACATAGCATGTTGCTAACGAGTTAGCTCGGTAGTTAGCAACGTTAGCTATTAGCTAGCATCGGATTGTCCCACCGCGGAGCTCCCTTACCTCCCGTTGCTGTGGAGAGCAGCAGCCGGCTGGACGGTGAGGGAAGATGGGGGAAACTGTGGAGAAAGTGTCGGTCCACCCAAGTCCAATATAGAAATGAACTCCTTGGCTTGGTCCTGTGGTGATTTAACAAACAGAGGGTGGACGATGCAGGGACATATTGTCTTTGCAGTGGGGAAATTGTGTATGCAAATGTGGGGAGTCTGTCTCAATTTATGACCCCTCACCCGATACCACTGTCAAGCTAGCAGAGATATAAATATGATTTCCGGTCATACTGTACTGGAAACAGCATAGCTAAATGTAACACAATGTGCCAACATGAAAAGCACATTTCAGTAATATGTTTGTACAAAAAACAATGCTCAACACCACATATCCAGAGGTGGAAGAAGTATTTAGATGCTTTAATTCAGTAAAAGTACCAATACATTATTGTCAACAATTCATCACAAGTAGAAGCCCTGCATTCAAAACTTATTTAAGTGAAAGTACAAAAGTTTTATCAGCAAAAATGTACTTAAGGTATACAAAGTAAAGATAATTATTGTGTAGGTTCTGATTGACTTTTTGTCAAATATATATAAATAATGGGGCTCTTTTGTGACTGAAATTAATCCAATAGTTACATTTTTAGAGATACATTTTGTTAAAAGTAGCTAAGCTGTTAAATAAATGTAGTGGAGTAAAATTGAATTATTTCCCTTTTAAATGTAGAGGAGTCGAAGTATGAAGTGCATAACATGGAAATACTCAAGTAAAGTACAATTATCTGTAACTGTACTAATAGGCTACTGGCTGATTCGGGTGTAGCCTACTATGGATATTCTCTTTCAAAATGATTAATTCATTGTGTTTACGATGGGCCAGGCCAGAAAAACACATCTACAACCCTGGAATTGAATATGCATTGCACCATCTGAAAACAATATGGTTCAAACATTTATAGAGGTAGATGTTTGTCTGTTACTTTGATTTAAATGATCTGAAACGAAAACAAATCCTGAAGCTGATAGGTGGTTCTAGGTTCAGGTTGTTCTGCTATGGACAGACGACAGAGTTGGGCTAAGCCACTCCCCATCATGTATTGTATCTTTTCAATCTAACTTTAAACAAGAAATAAAGATCTATCTCTTTTAAATGTCTTAAATTGAACTTGCAGAAACTTATCATGCCCTGAACAGCATTGCTATCTCCCTGCCTCTCTCTCCTGCCTAATAATAAAGGTGTTTTGCTCTCACCAGTTCCACTAGTGACTGCAGCGGAGGAATGAGTCTGTGTTTGCTTTGTTCGATATCCTCCCTCCCCTTAGACCTGTGCCAAAAAGGCAGAAGTAATAAGTGCTTTATTAGACTGCCTTTGTGCCCCTGACGTGCTCAGTTCAGTGTGTGTCCAAGCCATCTGTATTTGAGCATTCGGCAGTGTGTCTGCCACATTTCTGGGGGGTTGCCCATCATCAATGTGGTCCAACTTGACAGCTGAAACAACACCATGAACTGGGCCTTCCTTGAGGGCCCTCCTGAGCGGGGTCAACAAATACTTCCACTGCGTTTTGGTCGCATCTGGCTCGCCATCGTTTTCATCTTCAGGCTCTTGGTCTTTCTGGTGGCGTGTGAGAAGGTCTGGGGGTGACGAGCAGAAGGACTTTGATTGCAACACCCGGCAGCCCGGTTGTCACAATGTCCTGCTACGACCACTTCTACCCCATCGGCTACACCCGGCTCTGGGCTCTCCAGCTGATCTTTGTCACCTGTCCATCCCTTCTAGTTACGCTCCATGTGTCCTACCGGGAAGAACGAGAACGCAAACACCGCCTGAAGCACGGAGAAGGATGTGCCCCTCTGTACGGTTTCACGGGAAAGAAGCGAGGGGTTTGTGGTGGACCTACTTTCTCAGCCTGATATTTAAGATTTCAGTCGATAGTGTGTTTGTCTTCCTGCTCTACTACATTTACGAGGCCCGTTTTTCCCACCGTTGGTGAAAATGCAACATCGACCCATGCCCCCAATATGGTGGGACTGTTACATCGCAAGGTAAGCGTTCCTCGGTGGTCCTAAATAGTTAAAGATAATTTAATTCCCATGGTTTGACTTGATTTACTAATCTTACATTTTCTGTCTCTTTTCCAACCTTGTGTTCCTCAGGCCAACAGAGAAGAAGATATTCACCGTCTTTATGGTGGTGACCAGCTTTGTGTGCATCTTCCTCACTTTTTGCGAGGTCTTATACCTGTGTGGGAAGAGGTTCAGGGAGTGCTGTCGAGGAGGACCAGCTCCCGGAGAGAAAACTCCTTCAGGATGGTGAGGACTCCTCTGAGAGTGAAGGAGAACTCAGTTTTCAAAGAGCCGATAACGGAGAAGGCCAAGTTGGTAGATAATGACAACAGAGAAGCTAGCAACAAGGGTTCAGCCCCAGCGTACAGCGTAGTAGTCACATAAAAGACATGCGTTTTATGAGTTTGACTTGGGAGAAAGTAACTATCTGATGTAGCTTTTATACTGTTAGCCTTGTTTATCTGCAGAATATGTGTGGCTTTAAATGATATGTTGTCTTTATTTCCTTTTTTATATCAAAATAATGTTTGTTGGTGCTTTTAAAAGGCTTGTCAACCTAAATAACAAATATGCAATAAAGGTGATTTATTGTACTTTGTCTATTTATATGATGATGTGTTATAAAAGATTATTTTGTTATCTGTATGACCACAAAATAAAATCTTTCCACTTATTATGAGCTACTGTGTCGGTACTTTGACTAAAACTGGAAAAAATGTCTTCATGGTCACACATTATGTCATGAACTTGAACAAGAAATAAAGATAACATTTTCGAAAATAAACAACTGTCAAATTTTCTTTTTTACCTATTCCCCTTTAATCCCTATAAAAACAATTGGAAATGTTAGTTATGAACACATTGTATGAACCTACACGGTGCAAGGCAAATAACAATTGGTGATAACTAGATGATGACTAAACGATCTACAACTGGTTACTGATGGGAGTAACAGTATTGACAAAAGTTGATAACATCTCCATTCCTACAAGTCACAGATTGAAGACAAATACACACATCCTGCATTTCTTCAGAACAGCAGATCGAGAGTTGGTTTGTAAAGGGCAGTAAGTTGCTATTAATGCAGTGACCGCTGCACATTCTTACCTGAGAAAATGAATCAGCAAACGCTTGTTTAATCTTATTCTACGATAGCAGCACTCCATATCTCAGGTGTGTTTCAGTAGAAAAGGTTTTAGAGTGCCTGTACAAACAGATTTGAGGTGGGACCCTGTTTAATTCCGATTAATCAACAGGAACAAATGGGCATATCTCCAGATACCAGATGGCTAATGCTGATACCATGTCAACTGTGGAGTAATGTGGTGCTAGACTAACACACCTCAATGTGGTTTTGTGTACTTGTTACTAATTATTGCCTTATCACCTTTATTCATGTACACTAAGTCCCACTGCATCACATTTCTTTGTTCAGTCAAGCTACTGATGTGTCTTTGGATGTTTTTCTGGACAGTTTTCTGTAATCACCTATATCATTAAGGCACTCCATCACACAACTGCCAACATAAAAGTAAGTTCTTGGAGCAATTTGGGGTCAATATAATGTGACGCTGACAGGAAGTAGTTAGACTTTTAAATTTAAATTTGGGATGGATGCCAAAGGTGGCCACGCCTTCAGATTATGGCCAAGATTTGATTCTTGAGGTAGGTCAATGTCAGAGACCCACAGCAGGAGAGAGGTTGCCTGCTGAACACATTCCCAAAGTCTACTTCGACATTATGGACTGAGTGGAAGACCTGCTTTCTTACGGTAAGCTAAGAGTTTTTTGTCAAACGGATTTGCATTTTTTGGCTTGGTTATATTTAGTTTGAAGACTCCTTGCAAAGCTGAGAACATTGAATATAAAGTCAGAACTGGACTACTGTGTTCGGAGTAAGGGTGAATAACATTTAAGAAACTATTTAAGTATTTAACACGTTTGTAATCAATTAATAAAGGTCATTTCTACAAAGTGTCAAAGTTAAAATCAAACTTAAATGCTGTGAGATTAAAGGGAGGGAATCTAGGTTTCATAGCTGTTAACAAAATGGTTTGATAAGAAAAGAGAACGACTTTCGAAATTATCCAGTGAGATATTTGGAACAGAATATTAAACTACAGAGAGGATGTTTTATATATGTGTTTGTATTTTAAACCTTGTATTTTATTGTATATTTGCCTAACTCTGTCTTTGTCTCTCTTTTTGTAGTTGTAGCTCTTCAGATTTCCAAATATACCTCCTCTAAGGGTTACTGACAGACTTCTCATCCAATCAAAGCTGAACTCATGGATTGGAAATTTCTCGAGGGTCTTCTTAGTGGAGTCAACAAGTACTCCACTGCCTTCGGGCGGATCTGGCTGTCAGTGGTCTTCGTCTTCCGGGTGATGGTCTACGTTGTAGCTGCTGAGCATGTCTGGAGCGACGACCAGGCACACTTTGACTGCAACACCCTCCAGCCTGGATGCAAGAACATCTGCTACGATTACTTCTTCCCCATCTCCCACATTCGCCTCTGGGCTCTGCAGCTGATCTTCGTCACCTGCCCTTCCTTCATGGTCGTGCTTCACGTGGCCTACCGGGAAGAGAGGGAACGTAAATACCAAGCAAAGCACGGTGCAGATCGTCACCTGTACGACAACCCGGGGCAAAAGCATGGTGGTCTGTGGTATACATACCTGATTAGCCTCTTGCTAAAAACAGCCTTTGAGATCACTTTTCTCTACTTGCTCCACTACATCTACGACAGTTTCAAGCTCCCCAGAAAAGTCCAATGTGATGTCAGTCCCTGTCCTAATTTGGTGGACTGCTACATATCCCGGCCCACTGAGAAGACCGTTTTCACCTACTTCATGGTGGGGGCGTCTGTCTTCTGTGTGGTCCTCAACATCTGTGAGATCTTCTATCTGATCACTATCCGGTTGGTGACCCTGAAGAAAAGGGGCTTGGTCCATACCTCGTCTATAATGAAGGTCCGCCGTAACCTGGACTGAAATGGCTGCAAGTCATCTTTTATATTGTAGCTGGAAACACAGTAAAATAAATCACCATTTGTATTAAACTAATGATCCTTTTTCCTCATTGTGGGTATTAATAATTGTATGTATACTTTTCTATGTATTATAAATATATTGTATTTTGACATATACTGTACAATCCAAAGCTCTATCGTTTTTAGCTGAGTGTAATACATATTGCAGCCTAAAAAGAGTGTTTTTGGCATACATCATTTCAATGAAAGAAAATACTTGAGGATTGCCTAATATGTATGACCTCTGTGTCATAACCAAAACGGACAATGTTTGTTTCCCGTATTCTCAAAAACAAGAATGTCAAAGAACTGAAAATAAAGTTTTTGCAACAAAATAAAACCACAGCAAATCCATTCATGGGTAATATTTACTTCTCCTACTCTAATGATGCCATTTCTCCACCTGGTGGCACCAAAGGCATACTACACTATCAAGTGTAGAATCAAAACAACATTGCAATGATACCTCCGAAAATGCATGCATATTGTGTCCGGCTTAGGCAATAAAATGTTCCTTAACTTGATTGATTGATTGATTTCTGATACTTCCCTAGTCATCGATGTTAAAAAAGAAAATGTGTCTGGGATGTGTTTCCCAGGCATCGATCCAGGTGTTACCACCGGACTTAATACAATGGGTTAATGTTAGGCCTTCTACATTTAGCAAAAATAACGTTGTAATGTTACAAATAACATTATGAATACATTGAGTTGACTGGAGTGTAGCATTCAATATATAAAGCATGTCAAAAGTTTTTCTACTCAAACACAGGTGCGAAAATGTGTCGACATTTAATAGAGTGATAAGGGGTAATCAGCAGCTTTGTTTTCAAAATAAAAGCATGCACATGTTTTTTTTTTTAAGAAGGACTTTTCGAGAACTATGCAAGTGGTATTTGGTTGATGAGAACGTGTTTTAAATATTTACTGAAGATGAATAGTCAAGTCTTGAATTCAATTATTTTTTAAAACAATTATTGCCATTTTCCAAACTACTGTAATATCTTGAGGACATTTAGCTACCGAGCCTATTACATACCACGTTTTCAAAATGCCTCTCTGATTGATTGACAAGTACAGTATGCATAATGGGTTTATCAAGATTACACGTTTAGTGACACATTTAGTTAACTCTTATCTTATTTTGAAAAGCCTCAGAAGTGTCACTGTCTGTCCTGCGGGTTCAGAGAGGAGCTGATGTTTGGAGAGGACACGCTGATAAGATCCACGCACGATCCTCCACCGACACTTTAACTGAATGGTGACCCAACAGAGATGGCTGGTACAGGTGAATATTAATAAACACACTATGGTTTTGAAGCCGATTTACATGTATGTCAATTACAGTCATGTTATTGTTTTAAACTTTGGGAATGTTTGTTTGGGTGTGGTGGAGTGGTTCCAATATGGAGAGGATGAGTATCTCGTGACGAAAGCTTAAAAGGGCATTATTAATCCTATATTTGTGTATATTTGGACTCGTGAAAAGCTGACATTTCTTTCTAGCAGTTTGCAAACATATCGTAAAAAGGCCTGTATCAAAGTCCTGGTACCATATGTTACGTTATTTTAAATTAAATGTTATTTTGGACACTTTTAAATGCTGAGTAGGTTAGTAGCGCTTTTCTTTTTTGAACACATGCTCTGGTCCACATGGTGACAGTATCTGAGACCTTAAAGTGTACATGTGCTAACTGTCTCCTCTCCTATGGGGTTGTCTCAGTAAAAGTGTGAATGTCACTGTGTGTGTAATGATTGATCAAATATTTAGTTGTGACACTGTCTTGTCAAATGTGAAGGTGGGAGAAGGTTACAATTGAGATATCTCACATGTTGCAAACGCACAAATAAACAAGTCAACTAACCTTATTTATGTTAAGTCAAGACACACCTTTGTCTTTAGATTGTTACCTGTTGGATGTCAGTTGCTATGCTGGGTGTCTGTGTATTATTAAATGTAAGTTTTAAGATGAATTTGAATTGTTCATTCGGGGGAAAACAATGTGACCCGAGTTGCTTTTCCCGTTAAATGCTGCATAACTTTACATCTCTTGATCTGTGTAATTCATAGATAGCATGCAGCAGACGTTGCTTTATATCCATCATCTTCCCTCCAGCGTTTGACTTTATTACATTAATATATTTAGTTTCAGTTCAGTTCATTTTGTTCTTTACTGTCTTCTTTGGGACAGTGTGAACTGTATGTGCTCAGCAGCTAATCATTAATACAAGTGGCATCTCTGCTGTGGTTTTGACCTGGCTCCTGTCTCTCAGATCAATACAATGGATGGCGTAACATCACGTGAAATGAACTCTGTGGATTTCTAAATATTGCCGCATTAACTCCTCTTCCTCAGGAATGTGTTGTGCCAGCCTGGAGGAGCCTCAGCCCCTGATGAAGATGGGTCTGAGCATGGTCCTCATCGGTCACATGAACTTCCTGTTGGGAGCGCTGGTGCACGGCGTGGTTCTCCGACACATCAACTTCCACAAGCAGGCGCGCGCCATGGAGTACGCCATCTCCAACGTGGTGGCCCTCACCTCCGGACTCGTGGTGAGTGCAGGAGATTCATACTCATCCTTCAAATAGTTTCAAGGCTTTTATTGTCATGTGTACATAGCTACAGTGTCAATGAAAGTCACAGGCTCCTCCAACAGTGCAACACAATAAAACAGATAATAGTGCAAGTAAATCAAATCAAATAGAATATAAATAGTTCACAATATATTCTACAATTAATTGGAATATTGCAAACAGATGAATGTTATGTATTTTCTTTCAAATTTAAGGTGTTTAGCAGTCTTATGGCATGTGGGATGAAACTGAAATAGCAAGAAGGGCGGTTATCTTCTGCAATATTATGAAGGATTAAATCAGTCTCACGGCATTTCGTGTTATAGTCACAAAATTAATCTATTAATTCGTGATCACCAACACGATTTCCCCCTTTTTTCGTGTCACACAGAACGATTTTAATGTATTTCTATTGGTAGTATGTTTCGTGCCTGCAGCAAATAATAACAAATTAGAAGGAACAAAAGATTACAAAAATACAGATTTCAGTATTCTGAGGCTCTGAGCCATTTCTTTTCCTCACGGACGGCAAGACAAGTCCGACATTATCAATTTAAAATAAAAACAATAATCGTGGCTTGATATTGAGTAAGAAGATGTTTTTATGAACCACACAGCTTCCGGTCTACTACCAATAGAAATACATTGCTTTTAAAATCGTTCTGTGTGACACGAAAAAAATGGGAAAATGAATCAATAGATTAAATTAATTTCGTGACTATAACACGAAATGCCGTGAGACTGTGTTGGAAGGATAATTGAAATACAAAACGTATTCTACATTCTACTTTCATTTAGGACATCAAAGGAAAGCATTTTCATATCAGTGCTGTTTTATCAGATGTGTCAAGTTTTAGTATTTTGAGCAGGGATATGGTTGAACCTCGCAGACCACAAGCTACAAATGCATCTAAAATGTTCATAGAATTGATCACTAAGTACTGTAGAAATGTTCTTAATACCAAAATCAATATAGCAGGCTTTTACTCCACTGGCTGCTTGTAAAACCCGATTCCTATACAATCAATATTCTGAGGCTAACCGCTAACCATTTGCTCATAGCTGATAGCTTTAATTTCAAATGCTGCGACAACTTACGTTTTTAAAATAGCAAATATTTCCTTATGAATCCCTTCAGTATGACTTTAATGTTGGACCATGCTTAAGAAATAGTGGTCTCAAACCAATTCCTCCAGAACAAAAAACACATATTTAATGTTATGTCACTTTAAAAAAAGGAAGAACATGAGATATGTTAGAGTCGGAGAGTATCTAATCAGCCAATATGAAAGACATGAGTTAAAGGGTGTTTTTCTTTCTTCAAGCTTTCAAAAACAAATTTCAAAGACTTTTCTGAAATACTTGTAGTGACGACACAGCTCAGATACTTCATCTTTTGACCTTCCTTTGGTTGCTAACTTGTGTGTCTCAGACTGGATGAGAATACAATCATATGTGTTGTAAATGGTTGCAAGCAGTGATATGATTATTCTTTAAAACGTATCCGTCTTGTCTCTGCAGGGAATCGTCGTTGGCATTCTGGCTATTCTCCTGTCTAAAAACAAGAAGAGCAAAGGCCTGGTTAGTATTGTGTTTTCCTATAAACCGTGTTATCGTTGGTCTCCCTGCACACTTGCTTTCTCTTTGATATTTTCACGCTTTATTCCCAGCTTTCGTGTCTGTCTTCTGAGCTCTTGCATGCAGCCACCAGGTGTGTGAGGAGCTGGAATAGTTCAGTGTTTTTCTCTCGTGACTCTTTCCCATGGTGCAGCGTGGTTTCTGCTTTCCTCTGTTTACTCAGTCAGCTGTCAGACGGGACTGACAAGCAGCGAATGAGTAAGCCCGGCCAAACCTGCCTCTGCTAACCACTCCCCGCTCCCATTGTTGGCAGAGCAAATGTAAACTGGGCTCAACCTAGCAACCTGTTATCTTAACCCATCAAGGCATTACATAAGCATGAATAACAAGTAATCTCAACACTCCCTTTATTGATGTCCACACCTGTATCACATGACCTGGCTACTACACGTTGTAATCTGTCTCCTGTATTATTTCTAATCCAGTTTCGACAACTCACAAAGTGATTTTTAAATGTCTGTAGCAATGTCTCACCCTCTGTAAACCTATTAAAGGAAAGGTTGGCTGCTTTTCTTCCCATTGATTGAAACGTTTATTAACAGCTTGTATATTGGGTACAGTACAGTACAGCTCAAAATATACAATTGTTAAGGGGATGCAGACCAGAGAAAGACTTTCGTCTTGTTTACATCAGGGTCCCCCATTTCCAATTCATCATACACATACATACACATACCCACATTTGTAATTGCTCATAGCTGATAGCTTTAATTTCAAATGCTGCGACAACTTACTTGGAGTTTTGATACGCCAACAAGTCCCTTCAAAAGACTAAAACCAACAATGTGTCATCCAACCTTTTCAGGTTCATATTTCTATTCTGTGCCTCTACTGGGACATTGGTTAAATGCTGGCCGGCTCTGTTGGGATTGGTCAATCAGAATCAGAATTCCTTTATTCATCACAAAGAGGGGGAATTTGCATTTGTTACAGCAAGAAAAGAGCCAAAGACAGCTTAATATTAGTTCAAGGTTCTGTATTTGTCAAACGAACATAGCTACAGTGTAGTTATGTCGATGAAAATCTTGTGTCACAGGCTTAACCAAGAAACCGCTCAAAGGTGTCCAGCTTCTTAGCCTTTCACGTACAAAAATGTTGTAGGGCTAGCAAATCGGAGCACAAGTGTTACATAGTGATGTCACTTTAGGATTTAAGACTTTGCAGACCATTTACATGCACAGAAACAGTTATAACACACTACAGGAAAGAGAAAACTAAACAAATAGGGCGTCTTTAAAGGATGACGCTGTTGATATTTAAATATGTTTTCATGGTCAAAGATTCCCATGGTAAGCTCACAGTATGCTGACATGAACACGCAAGCATGAGCACATCACACCAATTCTGGCTTCCCTCCATTGGCTTCCTGTCCATTTTAGAGTTCATTTTAAGATGTTATTGTATGTTTTTAAATCGCTTAATGGGCTGGCCCCGTCACTGGCCCCACGCAAAGTTATATGATGAGGCCCTCTGTTTCGCAAGCGTCGACCGGGGGGGGTGCTAGTGCTAGTGGAGCCTCGTGCTCGAGACCGTGCCGCATAAGCGCATAGGTGCGCCGTATTTTCGGCTCAGGTGAGGCCCCCTCCGCAAGATGAGGCCCCCTCCGCAAGATGAAGCCCCCTCCGCAAGGTGAGGCCCCACGCAGTCTGCATGATCGGCCTGTAGGGAGGGACGGCCCTGCCCCTCAGTCCATCTCCGACCTCCTACAGGTGTACACCCCCTCAAGGGCTTTGAGGTCGGCTGATCAGCTGCTGCTAGTAGAACCTAAAACCAAGAAAAAGACCAGGGGAGACCGAGCCTTCTCAGCGGTAGCCCCCAGGCTCTGGAACGACCTGCCCTCCCCATGTCAAATTGTCGCCCACCAAACTTAAGTCCCGCCTGAAGACCCACCCCTTTCCCCTCGCTTTCGAGTCAGTCTGAGCTGTTTTATCGATTTGTATGCTTTTATTGTCCGTCCATAGCCTTTGTGTACCTTGTATTAATTCTTATGTGTGCCTTTTATCTATTATTGTAATATTATATTTTATTATAATGTTATGTTTGCTGTGAAGCGCTTTGGTAAACCCTCTGTTTTTAATATGTGCTATAGAAATAAAGTGGATTGGATTGGACATGACATTGTTTAAATGTTTCACATAAATGGCCACAAAGCGTACTTTTTTTCTTCTTTTGCATTCATCCTTGCATTTAGCTTCAAAGCCATATGTCATGTTGTTAATGCTGCTTTAGATTAAATGTGTTCTGTCTGTATTCCTATTGTTTTAATCTTTGCTGTCCTTTTATCGTTGCATCTTAATCTTCTCAGGGTTTGATCGCTGATTGTTTTTCTTCCCTCCTCTCACAGACGTGGTCACTTCTCACTGTCGGAGTAGTTGCTTCTCTAACGGCGGCGGCCTCGGCCATTGGTCTGTTGGTCTCCATGGTGAGGACCATCCTTCACGATGGGCGGAGCCTCCTGACTCACTGCCGCTTCCCCGACGCTATTGGCTACTCCAGCATCACCAACGAGTGTCCTTTTGACCCCACGCGTATCTACGTGAGTGTGTGACAGATGCTGGGATCTAGATTTAAAAGGCTTTATTGTTATATGCAAAATAACTAGTGTAGTTTTGGTAAGGACAATTTCATGCTCCTCCAACAATGCATATATACGTCATTTTCTGCTATTGTTATGACGTTTTGGTAACTTTATTTATTACTCTTTATGTGAAAAAGCCTGTTTGTGTCCGTAATAATCCCACGGTTATATTTGTTTTATTTCGTTTTATTTGCTAGCTACTGGTAAGCTTGCAACTCTGTCAGCTTATCCAAAGTAAGCTTCTGTTGCCATTTCATATATAATATACTTAGGACATAACATTCATAAAAACAGTGCAAAAAATAGAAAAAATAAATAAAACATATTTAAGAAAAGAAATAAGGATATAATACAAATTTAAATATGGAAAATATATACATTAAAAGACACAAACTGTGAGTTTTTCTGTGTGAGCGAGGGGAAAGGGGTGGGTCTTCAGGCGGGACTTAAAAGTTTGGTGGGCGACAATTTGACATGGGGAGGGTAGGTCGTTCCAGAGCCTGGGGGCTACCGCAGAGAAGGCTCGGTCTCCCCTGGTCTTTTTCTTGGTTTTAGGGTCTACTAGCAGCAGCTGATCAGCCGATCTCAAAGCCTTTGAGGGGGTGTACACCTTTAGGAGGTCGGAGATGGACTGAGGGGCAGGGCCGTCCCTCCCTACAGGCCGATCATGCAGACTGCAAGGGGCCTCACCTTGCGGAGGGGGCCTCATCTTGCGGAGGGGGCTTCATCTTGCGGAGGGGGCCTCATCTTGCGGAGGGGGCCTCATCTTGCGGAGGGGGCCTCACCTGAGCCGAAAATATGGCGCGCTTATGCGGCACGGTCTCGAGCACGAGGCTCCACTAGCACTAGCACCCCCCCCCCCCCCCGGTCGACGCTCGCGAAACAGAGGGCCTCATCATATAACTTTGCGTGGGGCCAGTAACGGGGCCAGCCCATTAAGCGATTAAAAAAACATACAATAAAATCTTAAAATGAACTCTAAAATGGACAGGAAGCCAATGGAGGGAAGCCAGAATTGGGGTGATGTGCTCATGCTTGCGTGTTCATGTCAGCATACTGTGAGCTTACCATGGGAATCTTTGACCATGAAAAGATATTTAAATATCAACAGCGTCATCCTTTAAAGAGGCCCTATTTGTTTGACTCTACCCTTCGTACGTGTGTGCGTACGTACGTAGAGTCACTCAGTCTGTCACATTGGGGCAGAAAGCTGTCCTGACCCTGTCTCTCCGGTGCCACAGACGGACTGTCAGGCCCGTTCAGACTCAGCAGCTGCACACACACATCTGCAACACTCAGGCATTTCATCACGGCCAAGTAGTCTGCAGTTTGTGAGGTGACCTTTGTCTTAAACTGGTCAATGTAAGGAGGTCAATGCTAGTTCTGCCCCAGTAGCTTTTAAATTACAGTTCAGCGTCTGCCATTAGTAGCACAAACACAGCATTAGGCGGATGCATAACACAGACAGTATTTGTTTTCTAATAGGAGACAGCTGCCGTGCAATCTGCGTGTTTGCAGCATCACAAGACATTCGTATTAACCACAGATAAATATAAGTGTATTTAAGCAGGAAATAGGTACGATTTCATATTGTGGATTTAACCTGACAATCTTTTAATTAACCAAATAGTCCTGAAGCTAATATAGCAAAGCAAATATGGTTATGATGTAAGACTCTTCGTGCTGACGGTAGCTTGTGTGCAGCAGTCAAAATACTGAGGTCACTTGCATTCAAATAAAATAGGTTAGATAAGATATAAGAGATAGGTTGGGTGATCGAGAGAACCAGCACATTAGCTTAGATTTATTTTATCCACCTTTTTAAAGAAAGGCCAACCTTAAATAATCAGTTTTAAGTGAAAGCTCTTTTAACAATATTATATATACTATACCTTTCTTGACATATCGACCTGACGTGGAACTGAAACCGTCATCCACGCTCTGTTCAAAGACACTTCTTGGGTTTAAAAGGTTCGTTCATATTCGCCAAATCCCAATCCTCACTGCAAAAAGAGAGATAGAGACAATCAGACGTGCTTTAAAACAAACTTCAGCCGAACTAATTTGGTAGAGGAACTAGCGTCCAAATAGTCTTTTCAGTATTCCTGTAATTAGATGTTTTTGTTTGGGAGTGTTCTCTTTCGTTGGACCTCACAATGATGACCTAATATAATAATAAACCAGTTATCCTTTACCCAAAAACTTGCTATCAGTACAGAAGTTGCTTCCTTTGTTGTTGTCTTCTGAGACTGCAGTGTAGCTGTTCCCTCCCATTAGCAGGGGACCCTCCAACATGGCTCCCAGCGGCCCGGTTACATCGCCTGAAAATATGTTTGGGCTTCTGGTTCTGATACTCATGGCTGCTCAGAGGCACTAATGATGCTTCTGCAAGGTTGTTTTTCTTTAGTGCTTCCTGCATATTTTATTCTGGATACCAAAGAAAACTTTCAAACTATAATCATTAATTCTCTTTTGTGGTCTGCAAACCAACCCACCTCACAAACAGCCGCTGGCAATTCCCTCTGAACACTTTGAAACTTTCTGCAGACTCTCCTCTGCAAAGTCCCAGACACACTGCTCTGTTTTTGCTTCACAGCCGCCTGAGGGAAAATAGGGTTCTTCATCGCATCATTACCCTCACTGTATCCTGCTGCTTATGGTCCAGCTGGTGTCTGCAGCTCACCCCACTCCTCTGTCTCTCTGCAGAGCACCACTCTGATCCTCTGGGTGCCTCTCATCGTGACTTGTGTGATCCAGATGGTGTTTTCGGCCCGCTGCTCTGCTGTCTGCGTCTCATTCCTGGGTTTACCTTGCTGCCCGAACAGGAAGAGGAAGAGGGACTTTGGCAGATCGGTGAGATTTCTGCTCAAACACACACTGTGCTGCTGAGTCTCGTGTTAAGACAAGTTGCTTCGATGTAAGTTGAGGACAAACGTGTCTGCTTGGAATTAGAATGATTTATTACCCTCATAGTGGTACATCTTAAAACATTAGTAGTACTGATCACATTTTAAGTGTTGACTCAACATGGTATAATAAAATTCATGATGCTATAATGGTCATCGGGTGAACGTGATTTTGTTTTTGGTTTGTTCAACTCTACCAAAAACTCCCAATAAATAATGTAGTATATTTCAAGACAGCCAACATTAACATTACAAAGTCAAGACACTTCCCTGGTGTGAGGTGCAAGGGTTAAGAATGGTTTTCAATAGAGCAATTTGGTTTAAGAAAAAAGGCTTTCTGTGTTTGTAGATAAATGTGGTGAGGCCAATTGAGGAAGCTGCTCCCCTTCGGTACGCTGAAGCTCCAAGGAACTACGCTGAGTCTCCGAGAAGCTACACAGAATCTACAAGAAGCTACGCTGAAGCTCCAAGGAACTACGCTGAGTCTCCGAGAAGTTACACAGAATCTACAAGAAGCTACGCTGAAGCTCCAAGGAACTACGCTGAGTCTCCGAGAAGCTACACAGAATCTACAAGAAGCTATGCTGAAGCTCCAAGAAGCTACGCTGAAGTTCCAAGAAGCTACGCTGAAGCTCCAAGAAGCTACACAGAATCTACAAGAAGCTACGCTGAAGCTCCAAGGAACTACGCTGAACCTCCAAGAAGCTACGCTGAACCTCCAAGGAACTACGCTGAACCTCCAAAAAGCTACGCTGAACCTCCAAGGAACTACGCTGAACCTCCAAGGAACTACGCTGAACCTCCAAGAAACCACGCTGAGTCCCCGAGAAGTTACGCTGAATCCTCAAGGAGCTGCCCTGAACCTCAGAGACAGCAGCTCAGACCTCCTCCTCTTCCTCATCATCTTCCCAAACATCAACAGAGTCTTCCTCCCTCAGAGAGACGTCCTCTTCGCTCGCAGCACAAGAAAAGGTCCGACAGAGAGAGGCAGGAAACCAGAGCTGGCAGCGAGCAAAATCCACCGGAGCAGCACCAACTTCTGGAGAGAGGAACCATGGAGAGGTCGAGCTTCTGGATTTAGACGATTTGAACATACTTGCAGACCAAATGCATCAAACTCAGAACTTCAAAACTATGAACTCAAAGCTGGAGATGTTTTATTTAGCAGTGTGGATGCATATCTGAAGCTCAGGGTCCCGGTTTTGTAAATATAACTGTTCTTGTATTTCATGAGTGTCAATCTATTCATATCGGGACAGACAGAGGAGGAAAATCCTTCAAAGTGAGGACACGGTGCCTGTAGAAGGATTCACTCGGAGTTTGACATTTTGGAGAATCTATTTTCTTGCCGAGAGGTAAACGAGAGGATTGATAGTCCTCTCGTTTCGATAGGACAGCTTCACACACCCCTACAGCTCAGAAATCACCAACACGTTTTCCATTTGATTCATTTGTTTTTGCACAGACGATTGGTATCGATCTTCTTGTCTAACCCTCTGGAAGTAATCGTTAAAGTAAATGTGCACATATAATGGAGGCAGGTACAGCACAATAGGAAACTGAAGTGTACAAAGTGCCTTCATTATTTTATCTGATTTAATTACGGATGGAAATGCCTGTTTGAGTAAATGAGAATGTAAGTGTGTTTGCATTTGTATTTTTCTGATGTCAAGAGATACCACTAATGCACGTTTTTATATTTATTCTAGTCGACAAGTAAATAACGTTTCTATTCATAATTCTGTATCTGTCGTGAACTCTGTGACAGGAGACCTTTCACTTTAATATGCTGTAATGGCAGCAGCAGGGGCCTGACAGGAACACACACACACACACACACACACACACACACACACACACATACACACACACACACACACACAGAGAGAGAGATATGTAGACACCCTGACAGGCGGGTGCTAACACATCCACCCACTTCCTGTCAGGGGTTTCTTAATAAGGACCTTCGCTGTACCTTCACAGGGAGATGCATGACAGTAATGTTCAGCTGTCAGACCACACATTGCTCTTAACTGGAGACACAGGCTCGAGAGATGCTATGAAACAAGTGATACCGTTTATTTAGCTGATGCTGGTATCCAAAGCCATTTATAGCATACTAAATACTGTAGTCTTCCTACTGTGGAAATAAGGGGTTCAGTATAATGTGGATGTCAATGGGAATCAAATCACTGAACCTGGGAATGATATATTCCTTTTTTTTTTTTTAAGGTGCCCTATTACGGGGTTTTCCATTTCCTGTAGTGTTATATAGTTTTTAGTGCATGTAAATGGTCTTCAGAGGCTAAAATCACTGTGTTCCCTCCAGAGGGAGTTTCTCTCCCACACACTATATTGACAAACGCTCCAACACATTGAACTTGATAGGCTAAGTGGCGGGACATCTTTAAGCGGTTGACCAATCACAACAGAGCCGGCCAGCTAACCAATCGGAGCAGACTGGGCTCTGGTTTCAGACAGAGGGTGAAAAGAGGTGCTGCAGCACAGACAGCATGAGAGAAGAATAAAGAGCTTTTTGAACATTAAAGCATGGAGACATGTAGAGACACTACATACTGATATACACCTGAACATCAGCAGGAGAGGACTCTTTAAAGTAGAGACACTACATACTGATATACACCTGAACATCAGCAGGAGAGGACTCTTTAAAGTAGAGACACTACATACTGATATACACCTGAACATCAGCAGGAGAGGACTCTTTAAAGTAGAGACACTACATACTGATATACACCTGAACATCAGCAGGAGAGGACTCTTTAAAGTAGAGACACTACATACTGATATACACCTGAACATCAGCAGGAGAGGACTCTTTAAAGTAGAGACACTACATACTGATATACACCTGAACATCAGCAGGAGAGGACTCTTTAAAGTAGAGACACTACATACTGATATACACCTGGACATCAGCAGGAGAGGACTCTTTAAAGTAGAGACACTACATACTGATATACACCTGAACATCAGCAGGAGAGGACTCTTTAAAGTAGAGACACTACATACTGATATACACCTGAACATCAGCAGGAGAGGACTCTTTAAAGTAGAGACACTACATACTGATATACACCTGAACATCAGCAGGACTCTTTAAAGTAGAGACACTACATACTGATATACACCTGAACATCAGCAGGAGAGGACTCTTTAAAGTAGAGACACTACATACTGATAGACACCTGAACATCAGCAGGACAGGACTCTTTAAAGTAGAGACACTACATACTGATATACACCTGAACATCAGCAGGAGAGGACTCTTTAAAGTAGAGACACTACATACTGATATACACCTGAACATCAGCAGAGTAGAGTCTCTTTAATTGAGTTATACTTGCAATATTTTCACCACCTTAATATGACGTCAGTATCATTATGCTCTTCTCAAAAGAACAGGACTCGAACAGTAATTGTACCTCCAAGAAGACGGAAGCTACAATTCTAAACATATTGACCTTGTAGTTTGGCGTTTTTAGGGTGGCTCAAATACAGTTTTTCACAGCAGTACTTTGCTTAGCTTCCTTGCTAGTACTCCTGTCTGTTTCTTCAACCTGACTTTGGATACCTCATACATGTACAACCCCACTTTAACAAAACAGAAATCTTCCTTTAAGCCATCCCTTACAATACCCAGAAATAAGGAAACAGTCCACACGAGCAGCTTTGAAACACATAGGTATATTTCAGGTCCAACTGAACAAACATGACATCCTCACGTGAGGTTTTCATGCAACAGAAAAATTGGAAGGAAATTAAGGGAGGTTAGGAAGGAAGAAGGGAAGAAAGAAAGAAAGGGGGTGCATTTATCCAACATAAGGTACCAGTTCATCAGAGGCAGTGAGAATAGAAAAGGGTTAAGCTGTAGTTTAGATCAGGGGGGTAGCAACTGTTGTTCCTTATCCTACCAGCAGAAGGCAGTGACACTATAGGATCCCCAAAAGCAGAGGTTAGGAAGCTCCTGTGCAAATGGTTCAAGTTACACTCCCATCCTAAAGTCAGGTGCATGCAGCTCTCATCTGCACGCAGGAATTCAATTTGTGAGGTAGTGAAATGTTGGGCAACACACATTTAGAAACGGACTCTTGCCAGTTCAGTCTGGTTTGAATCGTCTTTTTATCTCACATGGCAGACAGAGAAATCATTATGCTGGGTTTTATATTTTTAAAGTCAGTGAAGCCTGTCCGAAGCACTTAGATAGAAATACTCAACCACCTGAAATAACTGCATTAGTCTGGTTTCAGTGAAGCCTTTCAGTGATTTCAAAAGGGCTTTCTAACAAAAGAATCAAATGATGAGAAAAGTACTGAAGCACTTAAAGTTGGAGCTAAATTTGACTTGTTTTGTAGTGTCATACATAGCACTTAGTCATAGATTAAGATGTCATGTTACGGTTGTCGTGGCCAAAATAATTCAGATTTTATCCCGATTATAATTAATATATGCTCTTAAAATGGCACTACAACTTTAAAACTGAATGTTGTAAAGACAGAAATTATTTAATTGCATCACAGATAGGAAACAACTGCAAACACAATCACATTTAAACAAAGGAATAATAATTCATAAGGTCCATCTGCAAAACAATACTAAAAACATTGTGAGTCTTTCTTATTTAATTCATGTCAGGCTCTTGTTTTACTTCCCTACAATAATAACAATAAATTAACAATAACTGATAAAGTCTTAATTAAATCTAAAATTAAATCAATCTGAAAAATTAACTCCAGTTGTAAATGTGTGTATATCAATATGTATGTTAATATTTCGCTCTAAAATGTAGTGGAATAGAATATTAAAGTAGTGAAATGTGAAAATACTCCAGTCAAGTATGTTAGTATTGCACTTAAATCCAGTAAACGAGTATATGTACTACATTTCATCACTTCTTAATCTCAAAAACACTTATATATTGTATACATTTATCTATATCAGCCTATTAAAGTAAAGAACCTGAAGGTCCCTTTAACAGAATGATGCATTGTACAGCGTGTTCTCAATCTGCCCAACATTTAGCTTCTTCACAAACAGAATATGTTAAACTTCTAAAACAATGGAGGCCTTAAATCGCTTCACTCAATACATAGTGGTGCTAGTACCGCAACCAGTGGATGTGTTTACAAAATACACGGTACGTTTGAATCGTATTTTGAAACTGTAATATCACAGATTGAAGTCTTTTAATTTGAATTGGAGAGACCAAATTGACAGGCTGTTCTCATACGCGCTATAGGCTACTTCATATCCTATGCAATGAGTTTGTACCGTATACAAGTTGGTCTAAAAACATCGGACTTACACCCATAGGGGACCACTCTTCCCGTAGATAATTTAACCAAACCCACACTCTTTTCCTAAACCTCATCAAGTCATTTTGTTTCCTAAACCAAGTTGTTTCCAGCGAGACGGAAGTTTATTCAGGTTACAACGTTTTGGTTGATATTCATATGCAAACGCACCCCTTTTCCACCAAAGCCGTTCCAGCGCCGGTTCGGAGCTTATGCCCGATTGTAGGAATAATTGTTGTTGTTGTTGTTGTTGTTGTTGTTGTTGTAAGCGGCGTTGCTGAGAGAATCAGTGACGTAGATGGTGACGTCATTACGTGGAACCAAACTAGAATCAAACAGATTTTCAGTGGAAAAGGGGTGATAGGAACCATTGGATGAGGATACGTTGCAGGTGCATTTTGATGTGATGTCTCGACAAGTTCCAGTTTCTTGGTGCTCCAAATAAAGCTTGTATATCAGTGCTAATGTAAACACAGCCACTGATTTCTGTCTGCTAACCACAAAGAAGTACCTGGTGAAACATGTCCCTTCATCTAATTGCTCTGTAAGCAGACTAATCCAGGAGGTTATAAAAGCATTCAGCTGGAGAGTGATGAACGAGCCCTTAGTGAGTTCTCTGTCTGTCAGAGGGAGAGGAAAAGGGGGGAGGAGGAAGGCAGGGTTTGTCCCAAAAGCAAGACAAATACTCAATCATCTCTGCCTGGTGCAGTGCTGAGCAGGCTGCAGCAGCGCTACAAAAAGATACTGCTGTGCGTTAACTTTTTTTGTGGTTTTTATCAGTTCATAGGATCATGCAGTATAGTGTGACAGGTTAACGACTATCTTAAGTTTACTGCTTGTGTTAAAGAATACTTATTAGAAACAACACAACGTGATAATACTGTAAAGCCTCATTGCATGTCCACGTGCACACATTCAGACACAGCCTTACTTCATAACCACATGGAGGCTGAGACGATATGTGCTACTGGTGATTGATCAAATGCATTATGGAGTGTTTTATATTCTTCACAGTTAACACACCCACAAAGAGATCCATCTGAGCTCTCTCTCTGTCTCTGTAAACTGGAACATATCAAAGTACAATAATAAGAAGAATACAAATGAATAAATAAAACGACATGACGGAGGAAAAACAATATGTACAAACTATTTAAAAATCAACAAAATGCCAGTAGATATCGATAATAATAAAAAGCTAATGGGATCTTAGGCCTTCTTTTTCTCAGCGAAAGATCATATAGCAGTAAAATCCCAATAAAACCCCCACCCCGACCCCCCCCATTCAGATCACACCAGGAATTTACGCTACATAATACTGCTTCAATGCCAGAGTGTGCACCATACACTTCATTTGGTGATATACATAGACGTACAGTATATACATGATGTACATGTGTGTTGGAGGAGCGATCCCCCACTCT